AAAATCCCAAGCGCCACTCGATGCATTAAACAGGGCACCCATACGCTGATCACTCCATCACCATCTGCTGTAATCTGAGTACGATTGCGCACGCTCTTAGAAAATCTGAAGCATGATTTGGCAGAATCCGTGAGTACTGCTATCGAGAGGCACTTGCACTTTCGCTTGATCTCGCCTAGTGGAATGGGAAGGCGAGCGTGAATGGCGGCATCCATTGTTTCGGCCTTGGTGTTCACAAGAATTGCAGGTGGCATCACTAACTGGTGTTCAATCGTGCTTCCGTCCACTGTCCACAAGAGACGGGCGTGGCACATGAATAGCGAGTGCATCCCAGCTGTAGACTGGACCTTTGCGTCAAACTGGGACTCGTCAAAAGAGATCTCGATGGTGGCATGCGATGCTTGAGGAAGCTTGCGGGGTTCTCTCTGCTGAATGCGCCATGCCAACATGGCCGTAGCTTTCCGAACGTTCTGCACGTGGGAATGTGAGCCAAGGAATACGTCAGCGCACAGTCGGGTAGAAGCCGCGAACCAAGAACTCGATCTGGATTTTGCCGTAATCCTCCGGCGAACGCCCCACGCACACCGCGTAATGGCGTCAGGTAGCCATCTCTTGGTAGAGCCTTTGCCCTTGTAGCGAGGCTTGCGGGTCGTTGTCGTGTCAATGATGTCTGTAACTCGGACAGCGTGGTTCTTATTATGATTCTCTATCTGGGCTTGGGTGTGCTCCGGAAGCTTTCCATTGATAGCCTTCAACTCCTGGATTTTTTTTGATCTCGCATGTGCAATGCTTGCGCACGGGAACGCTGGCCAACGAAACAAGACACACTGCGCTGCACAACATCATGAATATCTTGAATATAGGCAGCGTCGTCCTCTGAATCACCACCAAGACAAGCAATAGCTGCATCCAAATCTGGAGGGTCCAACATGAAAACTTGCTGTGACTCATACCTCGACCACGGGCTCTGCTGTGGTTCAATGCAAATAATTTGACGCCAAAATGGCTGCGGGACGGAATCGACCAACCAGGGCTCTGGGTTCTAGGACTCAACCAATGCTCTGGGTTCTAGCACGAGGGATGTTGACACGTTTCCCCGTTGCCTATCTGTTTTGTCATCTTGTGGCCTCGCCGCGCGTCTGATCGCTGCTAGATTCGGTACAAAACTGCGCTGTCAGGGCTCAAGAGGTGGCGACCGTGATACGTTTGGCAAATTATCCAGAAGTGGCGACCGTTGTACGTTTGGCAATTACCTAGAATCGACAACCGTTGCACGTTTGGCAAGTATTAAGCCTCCAGCCTCCTCCGCCCCCGAACCGCCACCCTCAATGAGGGCGCCCAGCCTATAGCAACCCTACGGGCTGGGTCCAAGTCCCCCCCTGTCCACGACCATCCCAGACGCGGGGCCCCCCCGCGGCAAAAGGCCTGACGAGGGGTCCGGCTGGGCAGGAAGGGTGGGCCCGGCGAGCCGCTAGGCTATCGCAACGGACTCGGGGGAGCCGGGCGGGATTTGCCGTTTGGCATTGGACGCGCCTCCTCCGCCTCCTCCTTAAATCGGGGCTCAGGAAGTGGCGACAGAAGCGTGGCCTACACAAGCGCAACAACAACAACAACAACAACAACAACAACAACAACACCAACAACAACGGAAACAAAAACAGAAACGGAAGCAAAGAGGTAAACGGAAACCGAACCAGGACCATAACCAACAACTGATTCATAAACAAACACAGACACAGAAACGGAACAATTAACACAAACATAATCAAACACAGAAACAGAAACGGAAACAAAAACAGAAACAGAAACAGAAACAGAAACATAAACAACAACAGAAACATAAACATAAACGGAAACAAAAACAGAAACAGAAACAGAAACATCATCATAAAGGCACACACAGTTTCCGAAACGCATTTCTGAATGGCCTCAGGGGTGTTCTCAAGAGAATATGGTTTTATATGCTTCTGGATCCAGATAATGTATATATATATACACCATGTATGTACACATTCGACACCGTCCCCTTGAGGCACGAGATGGAGTGTCCTCAGGTCCTTGGCCTAACCCCTTAAGCCCCAAAACATCCAAATCTGGGAGATTCTTTTGGGGGCCAGGCCCCAAAACATCCAAATCTCGTGGTGCTCCCAGCGTGCCCCCTGAGGCTCCCAGCGTATCCCCTAGGCGGCGCCTGGTCTTGTCGCACGACTTCTTCGGGCCCAATGAGGTTCCAAGACGGGCCACGAGGGCCCCAAGAGGCCCCCAAGACGGTCCAAGAGGCCCCGGTCCAAGAGGTCTCCGAGGCCCCCAAGTCAGTCCAAGATGCCCTAACTGGCCTCCAGTCGGCCGAAAAAGCGCTCAAGACGTCCCAATAGGCCTCCGAGAGCCTTCCCAAGAGGTTCCCGAGAGGCCAGCGTCATTGATGTTCCGTAGGTGTGTCACTGTTGTTTAGGTTCTCGACGTTTCGAGCTTCCGACGCTCCAAGACGTCCGAAGAGGCCCCCGAGACCACCCCAAGACGGCCCTAGAGGCCCTCAAGAGAGCCCGAAGACGGCCTGAGAGGGCACCAAGACGGCCCAAGAGGCACTCAAGATGGCCCAAGAGGCGCCCAAGACGGCTCAAGAGGGTCCCAAGACGGCCCCAAGAGAGGTCCAAGAGGGGGGACACGAACTCAAAATCCGAGACTTCCGCCCCAAGAGGTTTCCCAGGAGGCCCCAAGACGCGCCCAAGAGGCTCCAATAGGCCCCCGAGAGGCCCCCAAGAGGCCCCAAGAGGCCCAAAAGACGCCCCAAGAGGCATGCCTCAAAACTGCCCCCTCAAGGCCCCCGAGAGGCCTCGACCAGATCCCAACGAACATCCAACAGGCCTCAGACCCACAACCCAGGCACGGTGGCAGGCTGGGCTGAAGGCCGATAGACGAAGAGTGTGACAGAGAGAGAGAGAGAGAACAACAAAAAGATACAGCGAGAGAGAGAGAGAGAAGGATAACGAGATAGAGAGAGCGAGAGAAGGAGAGAGGGATCTACATATACCGCGGATGCGCAGTCGACAAAAAAGCAAACGCACTCCTATGCGCTTGTGATGTTTCGCGCCTTTGGCGCGGACCTACCAATACAAGCACAGTGCGGAAGAGACTGCCTAGCGATAGCACCCGCACAAGGCTACCAGAGCAGGAAGCGTCAATACGGTACGGCTGTGCGGCGTCGGCACGCGCAGAGGTTTCTGGCCACCGCGTCGATCGTTCAACCGTGAACTGGACGCGGCTCAGATCGTTCGAGGTTGAAATCCGTCGGGTCCTCTGGCGTTATGCCGTGTCCCTCAATGCTTCCACGTCGTTCGGTCGTGCGGAATTCAACTTTGAACGCCTTCGTCGGCGTCGCCGGCGTGCCATCGCCGCATGATCTTACCGTAATGACAGGCTGTGGGGCTAGAAACCTGCGAGCGAGAGACTGCTCAGGTGGAGGACGAGGAGGAACATGGCTTGGACGGAGAATGCCCCACCTACTGGGGGGGTCAAAACAGCCCTGGTGCACACCAAAGAGGGCACAGCAAAGCCAAGAGACTGGCCCGCTGTTGTCCAGAGAGGGCCCGAGAGGGGTCCAGTGCACAAAGAGGCCTCCAAAGAGCTCGATCATGTCCCAATGGGTGGCCAAAACGACCCCGCCATGGCCGCAAGTGTGCCTCCACGTGTTCGGGCGCACGCGCGCCTAGACCATAGCCTACCACCGACATGGTCCTGAGACGGCGCCTATCAGAGGATTTGCGCCCTCGGCTCTTCTTCCGCCATGAAAGTAAACGTTTGACCACTTGATGCTCATGCCCTCCTGACCCCTGCCCTGTTTCCCCTCCGCCCTAGTGCTCCACCTCCTCCTTCTCCTCTCCTGGTGGAAGAGAAGCACACGCTCAGTCCAAGAAGGGTGCAGCGCAAGGAAAGGGCAAGGCGAGGAAGGCGTTATGGGTACACATGGTCTCGAGTCGCCGAAGCCCAGGAGGGCTTCCAGTCGAGCGGGGGCCCATCGCCCCGCCCCTTTGAGATTCGAGGGCGAGGCCCGCAGTGGAGCGCCACACACGACAGCACAACGTGAGAGAAGGACTGCACATCGTTGCTGCTGCGGCGAGGGGGCGTCTGCTTGGCAGGAGTGGTCGGGCCGGTGCGCTCCGAAGGTTCCTGCCACGAGCCGCGCTTGCACCCGCTCGCGAGCCCCGTGCAGGCCAGCTCGAATTTCTAAGTGGCAGATCACAGAAGATGGGCGGCAAACTATTGGATGCTGCAGGAGACTGTGCAACAGCCTGCCTGCGTATTCAGCAGCCGCACCCTGCCCGACAAGCAGAGCGAAGATTCGTCGTCGTCCTCCGTCCTCCTTCTCCCTCCTCCTCCTCCTCCCTCTCCCGCCGCCTTCTCCTTTTCCTCCGGCACACCTCTCTGTTCCGTTCTCGCTCCCGACAGCCCTTATCTTCATGTGCCCCCACATTATCTGCCTCACCCTTCGCCTCAGGTATCCCGTTTCATCACTGTTTCTGCGTTTCCCCGTCTTGTTCCTCATCGGCCTCTTCGTCTCCTCTCTCTCTCTCTCGTAATGCCGCGGTCTCTCCTTTCCCCTGATGCCATGCTCTCCTTCTCCTCACTGCCCCCTCTCTGATTATCCTCGTCCTTCTCCCCCTCCTCCTCCTCCTCCTCCTCCTCCTCCTCCTGCTTGAAAGGAGAGAGGCAACATGCCAGCATTGAGCGCGCGATATGCCGAGCATATCACACCGTCGCCGGACCCGGCCTGAAGAGCAACAACCGCCCGTCCGTCAGGTGGTGCGGGCGTTTCCAGGAATCGGAGGAGGGATGCGACCAGACTGCAACTATCAGAGCGCGTTTTCTGAGCATTTTCACAGAGTGGAGGGCTCAGGGTGAACTCCATATGGGCTTCCCCCCCTCGAAAGTCAATCCGTCTTGTGATTCACCGCTTGCAGATTCAGGACCTCGAAAATCCATCGAAACGACATTTCAGATTTCACCCTTTGCCACAAACGCTCTGCATGTCTTTCGTGTAGGCTGCAGGTGACGCGGAGGGCGGCGTTGGTTGACGCTCCCAGGCCGCCTCAGTACATGTCCAGAGCCTGCGGATCGGCGGCCGAAGGTCAAGGGCAAGAGAACGCATGATCCGACCGAAGCGAATGTCGAAGGGAAAGAGCATCAGATGAACACGAATAGCTGTGACGATGCGGATGCAAAAAGTGACTGGTGGTATCGGGCGGAATCGGGCGGCGGAGGCGGACGAGGTGGAAGCAGACAAGAGAGAGAGAGAGAGAACATGACGCGGAAACCAGCGTGAGAAAATGACTGGAGGGAGCAAGGGGCAACGGGCGGGGGGCGATCTTGTGACGACGTCTGTGGCGATGGTGGTGATGATGGTGGTAATGAAGACGAACAGGACCTTGCTGGCATCGTCGCTGGGGCCCCACATTAATACAACAAACATGCGCCTCCAGTGACTTAGCAACAAACAACGGCATAAACATAAACTGTCGGAAGTGGGCGCGGATTCCTTGGATCTGAGCTGGACCCTCCTCCCTGGCGCGCGGAGCGCGCCAGGGGCGGCGCCGCAGGCGCCGCTAGGGGGTCCCAGCGAAGATCCAAGAAGTCCTCGCGGAGCGCCATCAGTTGATGCTTATGCCGAGCTTTCGTCCTCGATGACTGCTTACCAGCCCATGGCAAGCGACCGCAACACTCACCCCTCCTCATCCATCCTTCTCCCCGCCTCCTCCTTCTCATCCTCCTTCCCAGACTCCTCCCTCTCTCCCACTAGTCCTGCGGGAGAAGCAAGGCAAAAGGCCGCCAATGCGGCCGACGCGGCCCCAGAGCACCCCGGGAGTGCAGCAGAGGTGGGGGGGGGGGGGGCACGGAGGTGAGGGGAGAGGAAGGAGAGGGGGAGAGGGAACCGAGACGGTGCTCTCGTGGGGCTTCGGTGGCATCATCAGCGGCACTGTGTTAGAGAGTCGGTCCGTGCCCTCCCACCTCCCGCTCCTCTATTCGGGGAACGAAGAATGACACAAGCACAAGAACTCGGAGGACCGCGCGGATTTCTCGGATCGGCGCGGACCTCCGAGTTGTTATGTTCATGTCCTTCTTCGTTTTCCCTACTATCGTGTTATCATTGTCCCCATCCCCCCACCCCTGGTTTTGGACGCCCGAAATGGGTACGGAAAGAATGGGTACAGTGCCCAACAACAAATGTTGTCCCAAACCAACAGCGGCCGCTGTTGGGCAGGCGGCCTTCTGTCTCAAATGAACACAGGCCGCGGCGGCGCGGACAGCGAGTCATGTACAAAATGAACAAGAACTGCTGTTGGGCATCGTGCCCATTCTTTCCGTACCCATTTCGCTTGTGCCGAGTGGCCCCTGGCAGGGCCCTCCGTGCTTCCACCCGCGGGCGGCGGCAAGGCTCCCCTCGGGCGGGCTCGGCCCGGCCCGTGGCCGGGCCGGGCCCCCCCGGTCTCCGAGGAGGCGCGGGGCCCGAGTTCCCGGCAGGGCGTCTCCGAGCACTGCCCCCCCCCACCCCAGGAGGTTGTGGATGTCATGACAATGGACACCCTCACAATCCGATCGTCGCATCAAACCTGTGTGTTAACATATCGGAGCAGTGCCCTAAAAACATGTTTCAAACATGTTTGAAACAAGATTTAAACACATATTTCAAACAGCTGGAAATTATTTGGCAACATGCTTCCTCTCCCTTGATCGTCGTCTACAACCCTGAGGAGAGCTCGCTGGCGGTCGAGAAGCGCGCCGAATCGCAGGCGAGTGCGGAACGGACGCATCAACCCAAGGGCCCAGATCCGAAAGCAGAACAACAAGACTGAACAATCCAACGGGGTCCCGCTCTGCTTCGGAAGGGTGGATAGACGGCATGAGCATAAACTTCTGGAGCTCCAGCAGTTGATGTGCATGCAGCTTTTTCGCCTTCGAAAGGCGAAATGAGCCAACCTGGTTTCTCTCTGCGTGCTCCGCTGGCTGACTTTCCCGCGCCGTCAAGCGCGCGAGAGAGCCGCCGTCGTGCCGCGTGCCTCGAAACACCTTCCTGCGCGCTGGCCTAGAAGCGTTGCCAAACACACCCGCTGCCGGGCACCCATCCTGGTGGTACGTTGGGTGGACAACATTCGCGGACTCCAAGGGGGGTAGGCTTCTTACAAGGCGGTTGCTTCTTAGAAGGTGCGCCCTTACATCTATAGAGACGGCCCGCGCCTTCTAAGGATCAGTATCCCTCTAAGAAGCCTTCCTTCCCCTACTCCCCTGTGCGTGCAGCCAACGAAAAGTGTCCAAGCCCATCGCGCGAAGACAACGCTACGGCGAAGGCCATCCAAATAATCGATAATTAGCAACACCCCCAACCAGACCAGCGTGAACAACACGCGGGGCAACCAACCAGCGAAGGACAACATTTGGGCACCTCGACGTTGGGCGGGGGGAAGCGGGGGGGGGGCACATCCGTTTTGCAAACTCTTATCGAACATCACGTGATACGATAGGGAGAAACAACTCGTGGAAACTCCCCCGCTCCCCCAAACTCAAAGTTGGCACGCTCGGGGGTCGAAGTGAAACTCATCAGGCCTCCGCCAACTTTGAACATTGGGGGGATGGGGGAGGCGCTGACCGATGAATGTGGCATGCGTGTTCGCTGTGTTTTCCGAGGCCTGTACACTGGAGGCCAGTCCACAAGAAACCTTCCACAAAAAACCCTGCCCTGAGACCCCAGGACGTCCCTTGATTCTTGGCGTGTGAACGTCACGCTTTCCATCGCGAAACCATCGAATCGAAAGAAACCCAGGGCACCCTGGAAGCAAGCAGGGTGTTTCCTGGCATGGGCCTCCACTGTGTGGTCTCCGTACCATTGGCGTGGGCATGTGCTGCCGCGAGCACCCCAAACAGACACTCTCCGAGCCTTGGTGCCCCCCCCCCTGGCGTGGAGAACGGCGACAGGCCTCCCAGTCGTGGCGCGGCGCGGGAGGGGCCTCGCCTTGGCGACGGGGGTGCTCCAGCCCAGCCTCTCGCGCCCCACCCGAAGGCGGAGCGAGGAGGAGTGAGGAGGAGTGAGGAGGAGGAGGAGGAGGAGGAGGAGGAGGAGGAGGAGGAGGAGGAGGAGGAGGAGGAGGAGGAGGAGGAGGAGGAGGAGGAGGAGGAGGAGGGGGAGGGGGAGGGGGAGGAGGAGGAGGGAAGAGGGATGAGAAGGAGGAGGATGAGGCCGAGGCCCCCCCCCACCCCGAGGAGGGGAGGCGGCCTGGAGCAAAAGGCGTCCACGGAAGAGGAGGCGGGCGACGACGACGAGAGCGGTGGCGGGGGAGCGGAGGGGTAACGAAGGATGTTTTCTTCGGACGTGGGCTGGAGTCGAGCGCCGACTTGAAGGGACCCACACACACACATTCACACACACAACCACACACGGACACGGACACGGACACGGACACGGACACGGACACGGACGCGGACACGGACACGGCACACGCACACGCACACGCACACGCACACGCACACGCACACGCACACGCACACGCACACGCACACGCACACGCACACGCACACGCACACGCACACGCACACGCACACGCACACGCACACGCACACGCACACGCACACGCACACGCACACGCACACGCACACGCACACGCACACGCACACGCACACGCACACGCACACGCACACGCACACACACACACATAGACACATAGACACATAGACACATAGACACATAGACACAGACACGCACGCACGCACGGACGCACGCAAGCACGCACGCACGCACCCACACACATACACATCAATAGACACACCTTCCAGGATTCCCTGTATCATGGGAACCGACGATTATCAGTGTCTGTGTGTTCCTCCCCCTCCCCCTGATGACTCGCAGGCGGAAGCCGCACAGCGGTGAGGGGGGCCGAACGAGGGCCCGAACAGCGAGGGAGCGAGGGCGCGAGTGCCAGAGGGCGGTGGAGCGCGGGAGCCGGCGGGGGGGGAGAGTGGAGTGCGGGAGTGGAGTGGAGTGCGGGAGTGGAGTGGAGTGCGGGAGGGAGTGGAGTGCGGATGGAGTGCGGGAGTGGAGTGGAGTGCGGGGGAGAGTGGAGTGCGGGTGGCGTGCGGTGGAGTGCGGGAGTGGAGGGCGGAGGGGGGGGAGGGAGAGGAGGAGAAGGAATCCGCCTCCGCCGACTTCGGCGCCCGGGAGTCGAGGAGGCACTGGACTTGTTGCCTGGGCTCGCGCGAGCCCAGGCTGCCCGACGCTTCGGACCCTCGGGGCCCAGTAGCTTGCCGATGAAAAGAAGGCAGAGGAGGGGATGGGGGCAAGAGGAGCAGAGGAGAGCGAGGGGGGCGAAGTAGAGGATGACGACGACTGGAGCGAGGAAAACGAGCAGGATGCGGCCGAGGCGGACAAGGAAGGCGTTCCGAGGAGAACGATGAGGATCAGGCGGGGGAGGACGCAGACATCGGAGGAGGCAGGAGGAACGCGCATGCCAGCATTTGGCGTGTGCGAAGGGAGGGGCACGATCAAGGGGAGGGAGGTATGGACCAATGCATGGGCTGTCGCACACCAAGTGCTCCGAAGAGGCGAGCGCGCGGGGCGGGGGATGCGGGCAGAGGGGTGAGTGAGTGATACGGGCCGGGGGAGGAACTGGAGGATTCCGCCCGGAAAACAAAAAAGGTACACTGTGGCCAAAGGGCCCTGGGGGCTGGGCGAGGGTCCTGGTCGTGGAGTTGGTAAACCCAAGCTCCTCTCCCTGGGGCGTGGCTCTCGTGTGCTGAACGCGGCACCGTGGGGCGGAACCTGACTGGAGGGAGGGGAAAGGTGTGGCATACAGCAGAAGGCTCGTGGAAATATGAGGAAGGGGCGGACTGGCCATCGCTCGGACGTCCATTCCATGTGTTTTTTTCGGTTTCGTGCGTGGTTCTTTCGCCAAATGATCAAGAGGATGCTCCTCGATGGACCTCGCCGATTGAAAAATGCACACGTCCGAGCGATGCCAAGCGGATGAGGAGGGAAGGCGCTTGAGGCTCCCGGGCCGGAGGGTCGGACACGGGCCTCGAAGCACGCGCAGAATGGCTGGCGCAGGAGGGGGCGAGGCGCAGCCGGCAGGTGCCGGCTCCCGCTCCCGCGGGGCATTGGCGGGGATGCAGCACGCAGCCGACGCATGGCCGCGAGGTCGTGTGGCAAGAGCGTGCACAGAGATGATCGCGTCGTGACAAAAAGCAGGACAAAGGGGGCCGTCAAACCACGATCCGGGATGAAACACCGGTCCCGGGGAAAGGGTCGGGACTTCCGGGGACCCCGTATGGAAACAATCAGGACGTCGCATGTCTGGGTGAGGTCCTTCGCCGACGGCCCTTGGCCCACCCAACGCTACTGGAGGCCTGAAGATGGGCACCAACACACCAAAGCAGGGGGGGCCTCCACCAGAGTGAAGGGGATCCTAGATTTTGGCGTTGGTGCTACTACTTCGGCCATCCGGGTAGCACGATGATTACCACCATCACCGACACCAGGCTCCTCTGCCCTCTGTTGAGGCACAGCGCCGATCTTGGTGCTGGTGTCAACCTCTAGTCCTCCGAAAAAAAACACGTTCCAAGGTGGATTCCCTAAACACGAAGAACTCAAGAGTATCCCATCCAAAACTTGGGCTGTTCTTAACCCTCATGCAAGTCTTGCACCCGGCAACAAGGACAATTACGCACTCGATCAAATATTCATGCGCAGCCTGGCGAATTCCATGGGCTGATGGGTTACTCCTCTATCCAGAGAGCTGTTCGGGCAACTTCCTCTCTGTGAGCGAATCACACGCTCATCACCAAATCCGCATGTCCACCAGCCAGGATAAGACAAAGAGGCTCGCCCCCCCCCCCCCCCACCTGATGTAGCAGACGACAGTCCGTCGCATGATAATCTCACTTTCAACACCCGAGGGGGCGGACGGGTAGAAACTCAAAAACTTAGGGAGGGAGGCGTGAGGAGAGAGAGAGAGAGAGAGAGAGAGAAAAGACGAAAGAGGAGGGGGAGGAGGACAAACGCAGGGAGAGGGGGACGGGAGCAAGGTCTGCACCCCGCTCTCGCTGCCCGCCGAGGTAGGAGGAGGAGGAGGAGGAGGAGGAGGAGGAGGAGGAGGAGGAGGAGGAGGAGGAGGAGGAGGAGAGGAGGAGGAGGAGGAGGAGGAAGGAGGAGAGGGGCAGGAGGAGGAGGAGGGGAGGAGAGGAGGAGGAAGGAGGAGGAGGAGGAGGAGGAGAGGAAGGAGGAGGAGGAGGGAGGAGGAGGAGGAGGAGGAGGAGAAGGAGGAGGAGGAGCAGGAGGAGGAGGCGGAGGCGGAGGCGGAGGAGGAGGAGGAGGAGGAGGAAGAGGAGGAGGAGGAGCAGGAGGAGGATGAGAGGGAGGAGGAGGAGGAGGAGGAGGAGGAGGAGGAGGAGGAGAAGGAGGAGGAGGAGGAGAAGGAAGAAACTGACGCCGAAGAAGAGGGGGACAAGAGCCCGGAAGAGGAGGACCCAGCGAGGCGGCTGGGGCAGGCACGCGTGAGCACGCGGGCCGCAGCGCGCGGAGGCCACTGCCTCCCATCTCTCCCCTTCTCCCCAAGCGGTGCCAGCGGGGATCACCACTCGGGGGCGTTCGAAGAAGAACAGGAACATACGCGCAAGCGTTCGGAGTTCCGCGCGGATGTCTCAGATCTGAGCTGGACCCCCCTCCCTGGCGCGGAGCCGGAGGCGCCACCAGTGGACCCCAGCGCAGGTCCAAGAAATCCGCCCGGAGCGCCACCAGTTTATGTTTACGCCGTTTTGTTGCTCTTCGAGCTGTGCCACTTCTTCGAGGAAGTGCAGGTTCCTTTGAAGTGGGCCTGGAGCTCCCCAGAGTACCACAAAGGACCCCCCCAAAACCTCCTCGATCCTGGAACCTCGATCCTCGGTGGGACCTGGTGCCTCCCCAGCCCATGCCCCCCGACGCCCTATGATGTTTCACAGCGTCGACCCTAAGAGAGGTCTCGACCCATTTCCCGGGATCAGTTTCCATCCCGAGTCGCTTTCTGGCGGTCCCGGGGCCTGGCAGGGGCCTCCAGAAGCGTAGAACACCCGCCACCGTGCCTCTGGGCACGGAGTGGGCGCTTCCTCACGTCCTCTGCCCAGTCCCTGGAGCCTCAGCCCTCAGTCCCTGAGGGGTCTTTGAGGGGCGCGGGCTCCAATTTCCGAAATCTGGCGGGGCTCCTGGCGTGCCCCCCGGGCTTCGGTGTTCTCACATGACCTTCTCGGGCCAGAGAGGGCCCGAAGACGCCCAAGATGGTCTCAAGATGGCCCAAGAGGCCTCCAAGAGGCCCCCAGAGGCCTCCCAAGAGGGGAGCAAGAGGCAAAAATCATGGATCTTGCATACGATGAGTTTGGCGTTCTCGCCTTTTCGGCGTTCCGACGCTCCGAGACGGCCCAAGAGTCACCCAGGACCACCCCAAAACGGCGAAAAGAAGCTTCCACGAGGGCCCCAAGACTGCCCAAGAGAGCGCCCCAGGACGGCCCAAGGAGCGCCCAGGACGGCCCAAGACGGGCCCCAAGACGGGCCCAAAAAGGGGCTCAAGAGAGGGTACACGAACCGAACATCCGAGCCTCCGCCCCAAGAATACCCCCAGCAGGCCCCAGGAGGCGCCCAGGAGGCGCCCAGGAGGCCCCCAAGAGGCCCCCAAGAGGCCCCGAGTGGCCCCCAAGAGGCCCCAGGACGCCCTAAAACAGCACCCAAAAAGCCTCCAACCTGCTTCCACGAGGCCCGCGAGACGCCTCCCACGAGGCCCCATCGCACACCCAATAGGTCTCATACCCACATCCCAGGCACGGTGGCGGGATGGGCCGAAGGCCATTACGGCAGGTTCGTGCCGTGTCGACCTCGGCGTTCGTTCCCGACACCGCGGGGATCGTTCAACCTTGAACGATCGGCCGTCTCCGAAACGTCGGATCATTCAACACCGACCGGTTCTCGGTGGCGGCGGCATTCAACGTTGAACGCCAGCAGCGGGGTCGCCGCTGGCCGGCACGACGCGAAACCTACTGTTAGATAGCAAGGAGCCTCCATCATGATGCTCTCACGACGCGAGGGGGCCTGAGAGTGGTGGCCCCCCGCGGCACCGCCCGATGGGTTCCCCCCGCGCAGCCTCGTCGGCGCCTCCTAAGAGCCCGGGAATCTCGACCTCGATCTGTCGCGGGACGTGGCGGCGATCTGCGCGCTCGCGCCCGGGCGCCACGGGCGGGAGGGAGGGGGGAAGGGAAGCGAGAAGAGGGAGGAGGGGGGGGGAAAGGAAAGGAGGGGAGGAGGGAGGAGGGGGGAGGGGGGGATGAGGCGGGAGGATTGAGCATTGCGCAACGACGGCGAGTGGAGGAGGAGGGGGTGAGGGGGAGGAGGGAGGGGAGGAGGCAGGAGGAGGTAAGGATGGGGGGGAGGATGCACCAGCGGGCCAGGAGGAGGCTTGAGGAGGGAGGGTGACGGGGATGGGGGAAGGAGGGAAAGGAGGCGACGACGTGCCCACGACCACTCTGCCCGTCTCTGCTGGGCTCTGCTCGCTCGCTTCCCCCTCGCCAGCGAACCCCCCCACACCGATCGTGGCCGTGCCCAGCCAGGGCCCAGGACCGGTGCCCACATCTCCCCTCGAAATCAAGCGCGAGTCTTTCCCGCGACGTGGCGGCGCCCCAGAACCCCACAATGTCAGTGTTCGCGCCGAAGTTGACGACTGCAAGCGCAGACATCGGACCCCGTGGGCCGCGTTTCGCGCGTCGACCAGTATTCAAAAACTTGCGTTCTGTTTCGAGGAGGCTTGCACGCCTCCCTGGCCTGTTGACGTTCCCCTGGGTGTGCAGCTGAAGCGCGCGCGCGCGGCAGCAACAGAACCACTCAGCGAGGATCCCCGCACCTTCAACGAGGACGGGCGGCAAGCAATAACCAAGGCGGCGGTCATCCCAGCCAGGCACGCCGTTGCCTGTACGCTCCCTCGTGCACTGACGGGCTGCTGACCTCGATGCTTCACTGCTTGCGATTGGCCGCACCGCAAAGACTAGCAGCTGCTGGGCGTCAATGGCCACGACTGGGGGGCTGCCGCGTTCTTTGCCAGCGGTGGCACGTGTGGTGTCCCCCCTCCCTCGCACTCATCACTCCTGTCTCCCATCGTTTCTGACCCTGCTCGCAGCAAAAATGTAAATAACCTGGACATCGTGAACTTTCAGTCTTACTCAGCTATGTGCCAACGGTGGCGCATCTTCTGTCGACCCCCCGTCATCGCACTCATCACTCTTGTCGCCTAGTGTTTACGAAACTGCTCACTTCGGAATGTTTGAAGCCTGGCCAATGCAAACCTGTACTTCTAAACAACCCGCGGTTTTCCTTCCTCCCCCTCCTTTTCCCCACGCGCCTCGCACCGCATAGCTTGCATCATATAGCTTGCAACACATACATTTCACATCGCCCCGCTTCCAGCCGTGGTCAAAAAGTTACAGGTCTGCAAGCGCAGGTAAGGCTTCGGCTCAAGTGATAGGCCCCGAGACTTGAGGGCTCATGGCGGTCGAGAGTTGTTGTTTACCGCATCGCGGCTGCAACCACGGTGACTCTCCATGCCCTGCAAGCGGATGGCGTGTCGCTCCGTTTCATGGGGCGAGAGGCTTGGACAAGCTCGGGCCGCTGTTGCTTGTGATTTGGAACATGCGTGTCGCACCGAAGCGTGCTGGGCAAGAGCCGGCGGAATGACACGCTAAGCTCAAATTCCCGATCGTATGCATCTGCACTCATCGTGCCTGGCATCCCCAAGGACAACCCACAGACATAGTCATTTTCGCTGCATTGCCCGACAATGATTGCGTTCCCTGCACAACGGGGAACGCACGCCATCTATGGAATCCGGAACAACCGCTGGCCCACGGGGGGCCTGCACATAATTATTGCAGTCATCGTGCTACCATCAGGAGTGCCCAGCACGTAACGAAGGGGCGGTTCTTGCCACGGCGAGCCTCGGTCACGAATGGTTCCAACAACCTAGATCCAGGGATCGGCCCGAAAACCAAAACCCCTCTCCGAGGCCGAAATGGTACTCATCTCGACGCTTTGACTTTATTCCTGGCCCCCCCAACCCTGTTCCCCAACCCGTTCCCTCCCTCGCCCAGTCGCTGACACGCACACTAACACGCGTCCCATCCCTCCCTCTCACTCTCCCCCTCTACCCTCTACAACCTCAACTCATCGTTGTTGTTGTTGTTGCTGCTGCTGCTGTTGTTGTTGTTGTTGTTGTTGTTGTTGTTGTTGTTGTTGTTGAACATTATTTCTTCTTAAGAATAATTATTGTTGGGACCCCTGGTGCGCGACCTCTGCGCCGCGCCTAGGCCGCAGCTACATTTTCATCATTTGTTCGCGAAAGCTTCAGAAAAGTGGATGAGCTCCGGATCCGGTTTTTTGTTGACGCTCGTTTTCCCTTGCAAAAAACAATAGAAAATGAAAATTCTTGTTCTTACTTGATCAAATTGCAAGAATCCCTTGCAAAAAATAAGGTAAAGTGGACATTCGTGCGCGCAAGACGAAATCCTTCCAAAACCTTAGGTTTCGTAACGATTTTAACATAAAAACATCAAAAACCCAATGGTTTTCTCAGAAAAAATTGTCAAAATGTCCTTCCGCGCGCTCTTGCGGATTCCTAGGAAACCCACCAGATTTTAAACATTTCTGTTAAAAGGGCCTTTGCGAGGAACCTTTTCAGGTGCTTCGACCTTCTGCAACAACGGTTGCGAGCCTACGAGGGCCACCATCCCTTGCAAAAAATGACACGAAGTGCACATGCGCGCGGCCGCCGCGCGCGCGTGCCGAAATCCTGCCAAACATAATGTGATTTCAATAATTTCAAGATGCGATGTTCCGAAAACATATGCAAACGCAAGACTTTCTCATCCGAAAAATATCAAAATCCACCCACTGGCTCTCTGTCTTGCTCTCTCTCTCTCTCTCTCTCTGTCTCTCTGTACTATGTATGTCATACGCAACAAATGCACCATGCGGGGCACATGCGGGGCCCAAACAAGTGATCAACCTCTGCGGGTGTGTACTCCACGCCAGTGTAGTATCCACGATCGTCCGCGCGCCACGAAGTGAAGTGTCCTGACGTCATAGGGCGGGAAGCTGGGTGTGGGTGGTTCCCGAGAGTCGTGTGGATGTTTGGTAGAGCTTGCATTGCCCCCCCACGAAGTGGGGGTATTGGCTGGCGTCGCATGAAAACCCTGGCACTGGGGAGAACACTGAGCGTTCGGGTAAAATGATTGTTGTTGTTGTTGTTGTTGTTGTTGTTGTTGTTGTTGTTTCTTACCTCTCTCCCTATATGTATGCTATATATGCTCTCCCTCTCTCGCTCTCTTTCTCTTTCTCTCCCCCTCTCTCTCTCTTCCCCTCCCTCGCTCTGCATACAAGTAGACACGTGTGTATGTGCATGTGTACATATACATGTACATATATATATATATATATTTATGTGCATATGTTTATAACTGTGTGTATATATATGCGTATGCGTGTGCATGTTGTCAACCCGCTCGCCTGTCCAGGGGGCCCTTGCGTGCTTGGCCAACAAAAAACATCTTCTCCGAGGCGGGGTCCTGCCTCGACGCGCGCAGGACAGCGCGCGCGCGGCGACGTCGAGCGCGGGGCTCAACGGCAACCTCTGCGGTTGGCGCGGGCCCCGCTCGAACTTCCCGTCTGGCAGCTCTTCGAGGAAAGGGCCCCCTTTAGGGGGCCACATGCGAACCCTACCCCTGCCCCCCCACGACTTCTGAGGGGGAGGGTGGGGTTCACTTCGCTCGGGAGCTCCCGAGCGAAGTGGACCCCACCCCTCCCCCTCAGAAGTCCTGGGGGGTAGGGGTAGGGTTCGCATGTGGCCCCCTACCTTTCTTGCCCTTGCCGCCGCCTTTCGCAGACTCGGCGCCGAAGGCGATCTCCGCCGCGTTCTTGGCCGCTCTGCTCCTCGGGCCACAGTCAAAGTCAACCTCCAGTACAACATCACGGACCAGCTGAGCCTCCCGCGCCGGATGAAAGTGCGCCTCGCCCTCGCGATAGGCTGGGGCTGCGAAGATCCGCTTGGTCACTTCCACCTCCGCCTTGTCGTTGCCGCCCGTGACTGTGCGCTCGACCTCGAAGCATCGCGATGCTGATGTTTTTTTGCCTTGCCGTTCTTGCCCGCGGCCGCGAACGAGTCCAAATGACCACCGACTTGGGCGTCGTTTCCGCGAGATCCTTCAGCGTCGTCCTCTCAGCGATCTTCTTCGGCGTCGCCTCTCTCGAATATCTCCTCTCCGCGAGGCGCCCGTCGGCGCAACGGGCCCGAGAAGAGCGCCGCCGCTTTCTTGCAAGAAGGGTTGCCTTCGAACTCGACTTCCTCTCCGCTTACCGTTTTGCTGGCGAGTCCACGCCTTCGCTGCCGTAATTGTCGATCCTCCATTCCAGGATCTTCATCCGCTCGTTCTCCGCGGGCGATCCCAGCGGGAAGTTCTGAACCCGCATCTGCACCGCATGCTCCTCGTCCATCCGCAGAAACTCGCCATCGCCTCCACCAGCTGAATGTCTCAAGGTCGCCTGCCACCCGTGGGCGCCTTTGCCTCCCCGAGGTCTGCGTCGCCCTCTGCATCTGCCGGCTCCCTGTTGACGCGCTTGGTCCTCCCTTGGTCCGTCGGCGTCAGCTCCTCGTCCTTCCTCTTCAGCTTGCATTGCGTACCGAACATCGGCCCGATCAGGAGTCGCAGAAACTGGCTGTGCGGGTGCCGAATCGCGCCGTAGAAAAAGGACATCGAATAAAGCGAATGTGGTTGACCAAGGAATCCCGTCTGCTGACTTCGACCTGGCAATGTGGGCATTATGTTGCAACGCAAAAGATAATGTAAACATCGAATGAACTTTAGCAATGTGTATCTTGAGGCCACGGGAACCGGGATACTGAACACCACATTGAGGGCAAATCGATGTCTCAACATATGCGCGGTTAGCCGGAGCGGCCCTCAACGTGAGAACAGCTGTGGACGTCGAGCAGGGCTCGCGCGCTAACCTTCAAACCGCTGTCTACTCAAATTGGCAGGCTCTCGACTACACCTACTGCGCGGGCACGATCACGAGACTCATCGATAGCACCGCCGGACACAACCTAAATCCGCCGGCCCCCTTGTGGGGTCACAAGGCTGTAAGCTCAGGGTAGGGCTTGATGTTCCCTGCGCCAGTTCCAATTTCCAGTTCCCACTGTTACAATTCTGCTTCTTGCTGCTTGCTGTCCCTTGTTGATGGACCGCGCGAGGGGGGGGAGCCGAAAAACTTCCGGATTACCACGCCCGAATCGCATTGCCTGAATTCCTGGGGGGGGCGTGGGGCATGCAAAAACACATGAACTTCGCGCCCCCGAGAGTATAAACCCGTGTAAAATACGCAATCGTCGCGTCCCCGAGGCCGTAAACCCTTGTGAATTACGCAATCTTCGCGTCTCGAAGCCCTAAACCTTTGCAACAAATACCGTGTTCGTGTCCCAGAAGCCATCAACCCTTGCAAATTACATGAAACTTGCGGCCCCGAGGCCACAAACAAACGCTAGCAAATCACATGTTATTCGCGTCTCCGAAACCATAAACCTTCGTACATTCGCGTCTCCGAAACCATAAACCCTCGTAATTGATGCAATAGTTGCGTTCCCCGTGCAATGAACCATTGAACATTTCATAATCTTCGCGTCACCGAAGCCATAAACTCTTGCAAATTACCTTGTATTCGCGTATCCGAAGCAGAAAACCTTAGTACATTACGTAATATGTGCGTCTCCGGAGCCATAAACCTGCGTACAATACGCTATATCTGCGGCCCCGAAGCCACGAACCTTGGTAAGTTACGCCATAGTTGCGTGTCCAAAGCCATAAACCCTTGTGACGCAATGTTCGCGTCTCCGAAGCCATAAACCTGTGTAGCTAACGCTACATGTGCGACCCTTGCAAATTATGCTATGATCGCGTGTCGTCATCGTTCAAAATGCCACACTGAGTTCAACCATATCATCAGATTCTCAATTTCTCTTGCCGATGCTGCCTCACGGCGGCGCCGAGGCCTCATGATTTAGCTCTTGCATGGCCCATTATCCGAGAGGGGGGGCCGGCGGCAGGGGGCGAAGACCTTCAGGATATCGTGCAGCATTCGATACATGCGAAGATTAAGATCTCCTCGGTCAACCTCACACTCAAAACAACCAAAGATAACAGCGCTTACTGCAACAGCCGGGTCATCCTCGCGGGATCCCAGCTGAGGGCCCCCATCGGAGTCAAGAAAAAACAGGAGCAACAAACTTCTGTAACCAGAGGCATCGCCGAGCACTACCAGTACACCCTACGTTGTGAACTCCACAAAGCTCACATACGCGATCAGGCGATACCCGAAATATGTGCGTAGGGAGACAAGCAAGACGTCGAAGGAAGCTGATCTGAAATCTCTCGAGCTTCTTGAAACCTCCAGGACTAACGCGGCGAACTTCTAGAGCATGCAGAATCATGGAACGAAACAGAGCACCACGCAATCCGCCCTTCAGCTTAAGCGGGATACCCTGTGAGCGCCATAGTCGCGGAGTGAGCCTATGCTGAGCCCATCGAGCCTTCAACCTTTACAGGCCTCGGAAAAGTTAGCGCACACTCATGCCACATTCATCTGTCAATGCCCCCAGAATGATCAATGGCGTCGGCGGGTTAAACAACTTGCGCATCGGTCGCACTCATTCCCGCGCGTGCCAACGCTGAGTTTGGGGGGAGCGGGGGAGTGTCTACTGTTTGTTTCCTCCTCCCGTTTCATGTCTAAGGTGATGCCGCCATTCGCAAGTAGACTGTGCGAATCTGCGGGCAAGATTTTCTGCGAGACCAGCAGGCATCGAAGCCACCTGGCAGGGGCCTTGCCAGGCGGTCGCAATGGGGCATCCCAACTTGAAGCTCCCGTGTGATTTGCGCGGCATGGCCCTCATTGCCCGCTCCCGTTGGCTCGAACGCCGCTCCTCCTCCTCCTCCTCCTCCTCCTCCTCCTCCTCCTCCTCCTCCTCCTCTCCCTCCTCCTCCTCCTCCGCCTCCTCCTCCGCGTCCTCGTCCGCCTCCTCCTCCTCCAACTCCTCCTCCTCGAGTCTCTCCTCTTCTCTCCTTCTCCTCCTCCTCTCCATCTCCTCGTCCTTCTCCTCCTCCTTCTCCGCCTCCTCCTTCTTCTCCATCTCCTCCTCCTCCTCCTCCTTCGCTTCCTCCTCCTCCTCCTCCTCCCTCCTTCTCCTCCTCCTCCTCCTCCTCCTGCTCCTCCTCCTCCTCCTCCTCCACCGGTCCCCCATGCCCCGAGCCTGAGGCAGGATCATCAGCTCGTTCTTGTCGCTGTTGTCATGGTCGTCGTCGTGGCCGTCGTCTTCGTCTTTCTGGGTCGGCGGCCCCCGCCGTAAGGCCTTCACAATAAAGATTCCCCCACCTCTCTCCCTCTCTATGTGTCCTCTCTGTCCTTTCTGCCATCTCCTCTCTTCATGTCCGGATCTTTCTCTCTATCTCTCTATGTGCTTCTCTCTCTCTCTCTCTCTTTTTTCTTTCTCTCTCTCTCTCTCTCTCCCCCTGTACATCGATGTCCTTCTCCATTGATTTGCGTCCCTCTGCGCCAGAGCCGACAAAGAGCAAGATGGCACCGCTGCTGCCGCCATTGCTGCTGCCCCCGCGTCAGGACGCCTTCGTCACTCGCACTCCCTGCGCAGTAGTTGCTGCGCTGACGGCCCTTGTCCTCCGACTCTACCCTCATTTCCCCTCTGCCGTAGACGCTGCTGCTCCTGATGGGATTTGATATTTCTCGTAACGGTCGTGACCCGAGAAAAAGGGGGTTCTTGGTCGCAAAGTAGCTGTAACGCTTGGGCGGGATGGGTCACGTCGGGGGTGGGGTGGGGGGGCACTGCGACTGCCATAGTAGGCGCGCGAGCACCAGCATGTGGCGGGGTCCAAAACCAAGCCCAGACCCACCCCGTACGTACGATCGTTATCGTTACCCGGGGGAAAAGGGGGTCGGGTAACGACCGTTGCGCGCCAGGGGGCTGAACATCAACTAATTTCCCTCGTCCTGCCCCTCATCCTGCTCTTTCTCCTCCTCCTCCTTCTCCTCCTCCTCCTCCTCTCCCTCCTCCTTCTCCCTCCTCCTCCTCCTCCTCCTCTTCCTCCTCCTCTCCTTCCTTCCCCGCCTTTTCCTCCCTTATTCGCGAGGGATGTGTCAGTGCTTTCTCCTCGGGGTCTTCGTGCTCTTCCTCGCGGGCTTCGTCGTGGCGGCGCTGGCTTGGGTCGACCAGCGGTGAGACGCATGGTGTCTGTAGAACACTTCCCCACCTTCTCCTCCCTCCTGCTGCAGCCCCCACCTCCCCCCCTCTGCGCAGGGCACAAGCCGCCGCATGCTGCAGCGAAGGCCTCGCCGCTGCGCTCCCGACACCCGCGCCCTGCCCCGCCCCGTGCGGCGGCCTGGCTGACGTTGCGGGCAGCCCTGCCCGCCGCCGATCCCGAGGAAGCCTCGCGAGACGCGCCGCTCACCCCCTCCCCCTCCCACTCCTCCTCCCCCTCTTCCTCCTCCTCCTCCTCCTCCTCCCTCCTCCTCCGCATCTCCTCTCCCTCCTCCCTCCCTCCCCCCTCCCCCCTCCAGTCTCTCCTCCCCCTCCTCCTCCTCCTCCTCCTCCTCCTCCTCCTTCTCTTTCTCTTTCTCGTCCTCCTCCTCCTCCTCCCCCTCCTCCTCCTCCTTCTCTCCCTCCTCCTCCTCCTCCTCTCCTCCTCTTCCTGCTCTCTCCTCCGTTTCCTCGTCCTCCTCCTCCTTCTCCTCCTTCTCCTCCCCTTCCTCCTCCTCCTCCTCCTCCTCCTCCTCCTCCTCCTCCTCCTCGTTCTCCTCCCCCTGTTGTTGCGTTCCCATGTTCAAATTATTGATCCCCGCTCCGGTGCACCTTGTGTCTTTTCAAAAAAGTGCTCCCCTTGGGGTTTGCACGTGGTGCTTTTCAAAAAAATGAGCCTTCCTGGCCCGTTGGACTTGCACAAAAGAGAACCTGAAACGGATCCCTGTCTGGTGGCGGGGAAAGGGTTTTAAAGAGGGTGTATGTACCGCCTGAGTTGCCAGAGAGGTGCCCGAAAAAGGATCCCTGGCCAGAAGCGCGAGGGGGAACCTGAAAAGGATCTCTGTCCCGCCCGCGCGTTGTCGGAGAAGGACCTGATGAAGGCTCCCTGTCCTGGCGAGACAGTCTCCATCGGAAGCCCCCTCCCTAAGGGATTCGCATTCTGATGTTGGAACGCCTGCGGGCTTCGAGGCAGGCGAGGCAGGCGCGTGCGCGGAGCAACCGGGCGCGCCACCCTCGGCGGTCGGAGCGCGCTTCCCGCGGGCCCCGACGCGGGGCATCGACGGGGAGCAGGACATGGCAGACGTGCTGAACTTCGCGCACCTCAAGTGCTTCACGAAATTGGCCAAGGAACTCCTCGCGTTAGGTCGGGCGTGACCTCCTACAGGCGTATTTTGGACGAGAGGTAAAAGGATAGTGCAATATCCAAAAATAATCCAACAGTCGTCCCCATACCATTCTTTGGACTGTTTTTGGGTACCCCTCCTGTAGAGGGACATGCCCGGCCTACTCCTTGCGCTCCCGTGCGTGTCCGAGGCGGCAAGCGCGGACGCGGGTGCGCCCGAGACGACGGGCGCCTCGGCCGCTCCCGCGCCTGCGGCCGGGGAGCCGACCGCTGGTGACGGCGGCGCGCGGGGCGTGGCACTCCGCCGCGCCCCTGCACGACGAGCGCTTCAAGGGCGGTCGCGACGAGGGACACGCCCGACATAGGAACATCCCAGAAGAGTCCAACAAATAGTCGGGGGACGATGTTTCGATATTTTTGGATCATTGTTGGATGCTTGTTCGGCTATGTATAGCTTTTCTTCCCAAATCTGCCTGTAGGGGGACATGCCCGACCTGAGCTTCCAGGGCGGTCGCGACGAGTTTCCGAGGGCCTCCTCCTCCCACTCTCCTTCTCCTCCTCCTCCTCCTCCTCCTCCTCCTCCTCGGACAGCCGCGGCGCCCAAGACCCTCGGCACCAGCACGAAAACTTTCGCCCTGCCTACAGTATGGGCATCTACTGGAAAACGCTGGCGACGTGGATCGATCCGCGCGCTCGTCGCGACGCGCAGCGTCTGGGCGTGCCCCCCGTGTTCCTGCATTCCGTGGACGAATGCAACACGATCCGCGGCGATCAGGGCGCGGTCCAGCGCATCCTGAACGTCCTTGACATGCACAAGACGGGTGGCATCCACGGCTTCCTACCATCACACGTCGGCATGGAGGTTCGGTCAACGGCCTTGCAGGAAGAGTTGAAGCAGAAGTTGTGGCTCGTGCAGGAGCAACGGGCCACCATCGTGTCCTTCGGGTCTCACCAAGAGAACGAGCAGCGGCACGAAGAGTGCGCGTTGGGCCAGCTCTTCCGCCCCCCTTCCTACCGCAAGGCACCTGGATGCAGGTGCACGGATTCAAGGAGTCCCCGATCAACCAGGCGGTCGCCGAGCTGCTGCTACAGGGCGCCGACGGTTCTGACGACGACGGCGAGGACGAGGAGCGGGCGAGGAGCTTGCGGATGTTCAGGCCCAGTGAGCAGGAGCAGCTCGCATGGCAGAGCTCGGGGCCGCAAGACATGCGCCGCTCGGGGTTCACCCTGACGCACGATCGTACCTCGCCTCTACGCCGTCGCAGGGTTAGACACTGCGCAGGGGCGTCACCATCGACTGCGCCAGGGATGAAGACGCTGGCCGCACGTGCATGTCGGACGAGCAGTGGTGGCTGCACCTTCTACGTAATGTTCTCCCGAGCCACGCGCATGCGGAACATGCTGGTTCTCGGGCAACCCTCGCGCAAGTTTCTGGGGCGCGGGTCGCCGGCGTCCTTGCGGAAGGCGCTCGGGGAGTTCGACAAGAGGGCTGCGAGCTCCAGGGCTAAGGCGGAGAAGCTTGCGGCAAGGCTGGGTTTCGCGCTGCCTCCGGCTTGAGCGCGGCGAAACCCCACTCGAGGCCCGCGGGGCTGTCCCAACGGGTTGTTCCCATGCCCAAGCAGCTCGCGGGGTTGTCCCAACGGCCTGACACGCGGGTTTGTCATAACGGTTTCGCGATCTAGCCATCGGAGACGCCCACATGCTGGCTGCTGGCAGCGGCGGCGACGGCGCCAAGGAACATCATCTTGCGCGCTCCGGCCGAAAGGAAAAAATGGGGCTTCATGAGTAGGGGAGGCGGGCGGAGGATGAGGAGTACGAAGGTAGATGCGGGGGAGCATGAGGAGGAAGGAGGGGGAAGAGGAGGAGGAGGAGGAAGAGGAGGAGAAGGAAGAGGAGGACGAGGACGAGGAACAACTAGGAGAAAGAAGAGAAGGAGGAGAAGGCGGATAAAAAAAGAGAAAGGAGAGGATGATACATATACGGAGGAGGAGGAGGAGGGAAGGAGCAGACCGTACGGAAGAGGAGCAAGAGGAGAAAGAGAATTCGCCGGCCCAACGGGCCAGAGGCGTGCTAAGATCTCCGGTAACTGGTTAACAATTTTCTAGTTCGCGCGCGCGGGGCGGCCCCTGGGGGTCCCCGGACGAAAAGTACCCCGACCAGGTCCCGGCCGGTCCCCGGCCGGGTCCCGGCCGGGTCCCGGCCGGGTCCCGGCCGGGTCCCCCCGAGCGCTCCATGAGCGCACCAACAGGGCTCCGAGACGTCCCCGAGAGCCCCAAGAAAGGCCAAGAGGCCCCCAAGAGGCCCCCAAGATGGTACACGAGGGGTCCGACATGCCACAAGATCGCTCCAAGACGCCCAAGATAGCCCCCAGACGCCCCAAGAGGCCTCCAAGAGCACTCCCAATAGGGCCCCCGGAGGCAAAAATCATTGTTTTTCCATAGGTTTTTGAAAGATTTTGGAGCTTCCACCTTTTCGGCTTCCCGACGCCCCAAGACGGCCCAAGAGGCCCCCAAGATCGCCCCAAGAGGGCCCAAGAGGCACCCAAGAGGGCCCCAAGATGGCCCAAGAGGGCTCGAAGACGGCCCAAGAAGCCTCCAAAACGGTCCAAGAGGGCCCCAAGAACGCCCCCAAAGGGGCCCCAGAGAGGGAACACGAAACAACATTTCGAGCCCTCGGCCCTAAGAAGCCCCTACGAGGCCCCTAAGAGGCCCCAAGAGGCCCCCACGGGGCCCTCAGGAGGCCCCCAAGAGTCCCCCAAGCGGCCCCAGGAGGCCCCCCAAATGCCCCCCCGAGCGCCCCAGGAGTCCCCCAAGCGGCCCCAGGAACCCCCAAAGCGCCGCATTGACACCAGGCCCTCGGGCAAACGGCAGACATGAGACTGTATGGGCCGGCGGAATGAGCGAAGCGATTAAATAACGATACAAATGATAACATGGAGGAGGACACATATACGGAGGAGGAGGAGGAAGAGGAGGAGGAGGAGGAGGAGGAGGAGGAGGAGGAGAAGGAGGGAGGAGAAGGAAGAGGAGCCAACATAGAGGGGGAGTGGACGGCCAATGCCAGAGCGAGGAGGCAAGGGTGAGGGGCAAGCCACACAGGTTCTGCTGTGAGGTCCTGCAGTCGGACCACTTCTCTGCAGCACGGCAAGACACCGCGGAGGGAGAGCAGGGACGGCTGCGGGCCCCGAGGACACCCCGACGACTGCAGCAGCCCCGCGCCGCCTTGGCCTGCCTGCCGGCCGGCTCCTCCTGGGCGGGGGGGGGGGGGGCGGGCATGGACCGCCGGGGAGGAACAGGGCAATGCGGACCAAGTAAGGGTGGGGCAAGCACACACTGGCCATCGCTCGGACGTCCCTTCCCTGTGTTTTTTGTTCGGTCTTGTGCGTGGTTTCTTCGCCAAATGATCAAGGATGCTCCTCGATGGTCCTCGCCGAAGGAAACATGCACACGCCCGAGCGATGCCAAGCACAGTCGTGAACTTGTGCCCAGCGTGTCGCGGCGGCGGCCCCGTCGATATGCCATGCCCTGCAAGCGGACAGCAAGTCGCTCCGCTCCGTGTGGCGGGAGGCCGAGAAGGAAGTCTCGAGACGCTGGCGCCAGGGGACGGGGAATGAGTTGGCGTGTCGCGCCGAAGCGTGGTGGGCCAGAACTGGCGCAGCGACGGAGGAGGAGGGGGAGGAGGAGGAGGAGGAGGAGGAGGAGGAGGAGGAGGAGGAGGGGGTGGGGCAAGATCTGGGCTGCGTGGTGTATGCCTTCCCTCCGCCGAGGGAGAAGGGCGGCCAGGACGAAAGGACCGCGTGCGTGCTGGGAGCGCAGGTGACTGCGGCACGGAGGCAGGGCGGAGCAGTTCTGGGATCGGTGCGAGAGGCGCGAGGACGAGGAAGGGCAGGAGCAGCAGGACGAGGGGCAGGAGCGACAGGAACGGATGGGCAAAGGGATGGGAGAGGAAGGCCGGGGACATGGAGTGAAAAGGGGAAGAGCGAGGAGGAGGGAGGAGTGAGCGACACGAAGGAAAAGAGGTGGACGAATGCAGACACACGCACACACACACGCTGGGTAAATGGGAAATGCAACAATGCGCAGACTACGCACGAAACCGTTATGAACCACCAGTGCGGTACTTTGTGGCCACGGCCATGCCGAACGTGTCCGATCTCCACGCGCGTGAATACCAACATGATGGCACTTCGATCACTCCACCAAGAAACGAAGGCCAAGCTATCACTCGAAGCCAGGCCCCTAGAGGCCGGATAACGTCTCAGGGCCGGAACAGAAGGAAGTGAACAGACACCAAGCACATCCATTTGTTTTGCGAATCTGCCAGGCTGTGGGGCATACGCCCCCCCTCGAAATCAGACGCACGTTTTTCCCGCTACGCTGCGGCTCCACAGGGCCCCCAAAGTTCAACGCTCGTGCCCAAACTGGCGACTGCAAACACAGACATCTGACCCCGTGGGCCGCGTGTTGCACGCGTCGACGACAATCAAAACCTTGCGCTTGACTTCGAGGGAGGCTGTAAGCAGTCGGCAGCTCAAGTCTTGGGTTGAACTATTGTTTCTGGATGCTTGGCCGTCTGCGTGGCCTCGGGCTCCCTGCAGTCTGTCCTCTCCCTCTTCCTCCCCCCATTCTTTTCCCCCTCCTGCTGCTGCTCCACCCTTGCCAACCAGCCGAAGACTCGAACCTGCATCGCATCCCTCGACATCGGCCGAGCGGTAGCGAGAAACATATTCTCGCCGCGCCGTCGTAGCGACCGTCAAACGCGTGAGCTTGCACTCCAATTGGGGGGGAGCGCATGTTCCAGCATGCGAGTCCTAAACGTTCTTCCGCATCGGCCCTTTGCATTGCGAAAGGACTCTCCGCGTACTCATGGTCCAAGTGTTTCTCCTTTCTTCAAACATTGTTTGGAAGGCCCTTTCGAGCGGGGCGTGGCCAACGAAAGTGGCCAAGGATGGACCGAGGAGGCCAGGATGTAAGAGCACCCTTGGGAAGGTCGCCCCTCCTTGCCCTGCGGGCTGACTACACTAGGGAAATAAACAATGACCTCAACATGAAAACTCGGAGGTCCGCGCGGATTTCTCGGCTCGGCGTTGGCGCCCCTCCTTGGCGCGCCAGGGGCGGCGCTGGAGGCGCCGCCAGGGCGCTCCAGCGCCGATGCGAGGAGTCCGCGCGGACCTCAGAGTTTTTATGTCTGTTTGTGCCACTGCCTGTTTCCCCATGTGCTGCCGTCTTAGCTCGCCCTCCCCTGAGACGGGGCGGGGCGGGGCGGGGCGAGGGAAGGCGGGGGGGGGAGGGGGGGCGGGCAGGGGCCTCGCCCAGCACGGACTCCCACTGGTGCCGCGCCATGACCGGGCCCTTGGCCTGCGGGCGGGCTGGCGGGCAGCGGCGGGCCGCCGACCCGGGGGGGGGCCCCGAGGGCTGTCGGCGCTGATCCTGCCGCCCGGGCAAAGGGAGCTCGGTGGCGATGCATGGGAGCCTCCCATGCCATCTTGCCGGCTCTTGCGGATCGACGCTGACCGACGCCGAATCGACTCTGCTCGACGCTGATCGGCGCTGAATCTGCGCTGTCTCATCGACTGCCAAATGCTCATCGACATTACGATTGTATGCATGGCTGTCATGATTTGCGACCGAAGAAAACATCCGGGCGACTTCTGGCATTGCGTGCGCCCTCTCTCATCTCGCCCCCTTCAGCCTCCGATCGCGGGGCACGATGAATGAAGCGCGAAGTGGGGTGATAGCGGATTGCTAACCGCGCATCGCGGGGCGCGATGCGATACACTAGGTTATCTAAGATCTTGATGACATCTCCCGGACAGCCGACGCCGTGAAACGATCATGGTTCTTCATTCCCTTTTCCCTAACTAGGTTGTGCCTTAGAGGTCTTCCGATTCCTAATTGTTTTCGAAGAAAACGAAGGGTGCCAAACCTGGTCCCGGCGAGGTTCCCTGGAGTTCTCCGGTCCTGTTTCCTTACGGATGGATTCCCAATCTTGTTTCGGCCTTTCGCAGGTTCCCTGGGTTTCTCCTTCTCTGTTTGTTGAAATAGGCGCATCCCTGGTTGCCAAGCAACATCGAGCAGTGCCATGCAATGTCAATGCCAAACAATGCAAAACACTGCAATGCAATAAACACAATGCCACGCGAAGCCAAGCAAGATAATGCAATGCCGATTCAAAGCCAGGCAACGACAATGCAATATAACGCGATACGAAACAATGTACCGACATGCAAATCAAACCACAGCAATACCAAGGAACGCACAGCAATGCCAAGCAATGCTGGGCAATGCCAAGTTGTGCACTCCAAAGAAATACCAAGACGTACAAGGCCATGCGAAGCAATGTCAATGAAAGCCAAGCAATGCACAGACACGGCAAGCAATGCCAACCAGTCCAAAGCGATACCAAGCAGTGCCAAGCAACGCCGCAGAATGCAAAACGATGCCAGCCAATACGAAACAGTACCGCAAGATCCAGCAACCCCAGGCAAGACCAGGCTTGCAAGCGAACGCCAAGCAAGGCAAGACAGTGTCAAGGAATGCCAAGCCGCGCTCACAAGTCCCAAGTCATGCCCTACAGCGTCGAGCCGTGCCAATTGACGCCGACCAGTGCCGAGCAATGCATGCCACGCCCATGCAAAGCCATGCCAAGCAGCGCCGAGCAGTCCCAAGCAGCGCAAAAGGCACGCACTGGCAAGCAGGGCGACGCATGCGCGCCAGGCTCGGGTCCTGCCCGCCCTCTCGCCTCTCCCGCGCGCACATCACTCGGCTCCCGCACCCGAGCCGCGCCAGCGCGCACCGCCAGGCTTAGATCGGGCATGCGCCCCTACAGGCGGATTTTGGAAGACAAAGCAAGCAACCGATCTTAAATATAGCCAACAATAGTCAACACATCGGCCCCAGCCTATTGTTTGACTGTTTCTGAATATCCCTCCTGTGTAGGGACATGCCCGACTTAACGCTGGACACGGGCTGGATGGCTGCTGTGAGGCCAAGGCTGGGCGAACGGCGATGCTGCCAGACGGTGATGTTTGGAACCAAAGCGTGGGACATCACGAACCACACATTCCTACATTTTCCAATCTGCGAATGGTTCGAGCGAGCACGGCACAGCGAATTGTAGGAAAGCGCGAACCACGCGTTCTCGCACTACCGACACCTACATCGCCGATACCTACATCGCCGTTAGCCCGTCTGCGGTGAAAAAAAAACCGACGACGCACCAATCCGTGAAGATGCCGTGCAAGCCGCTGCGTCCAGGTCGGCCTCAAATTCCTGATCCTGCTCTCGATCGATACCGTTCGCGCTCCTACAACCCTCCTCGAAATAACAGCTGCTCATTGCCAGCACGCTCGTTGGTGCTCGCTGACCGCTGATGGGCTGACGCTTGGCGGAAGAGGCGGTGCTGGTGACTGGTTCGTCATGGTTCGTCGCTTAGCTGGTCGAACGTGGGCAATAATGACACACGATTGGGCGGCCAAAAGTCGCCAAAACCACGTCTCTCGACATCACGCGAACCATAACAAGCAACAACAACTGAAACGTCACAGCTCCGTAGCCGTCGCAACCGCGGGGGAAGAATGATCAATCTCGTGCCTCCGGGTGCGCTGTCCCCCCCCCGCCCCCGAGAGCGGATGGGGGCGGAGATCATGCTTCCATAATTCTGGCGCTGACATTTTGGCAAGAGATGGGCCAACATATGACTATGACGCTGTCCGCCAATAAATGGTAGATCGTCGTCGAACTCGTACCGTCCTGGATTATCTTGTGCCGCTACTTCCGGTGTCCGCTGTCGAAGCACTGCCGCCATGTGTGCTTGACGGTGTCGTTCTCGACAATGCTGGTCCAGCGAGCTTCGCTGTCGCACTCCCGAACGACCTGCCTCGTCGACCATCTGAGGTCTTGAGGGCGACAACGATGGCATGGCACGATTAGCAACGGATGCGCTCCAAGAACTTTGGAGTATCTAATACTGGCCATCGTTTCTGAAGTTCGTGCGGAACAATGGGGAATCTCGGAAACTTTGGAAATATTGGGACACCTCATCCTCATGACGCCTTGTCCCTCTGAGTCTTGGATGCCCTCTGAATATGAGGTCGATCGAAACCGAACTCGTCCCATAAATTAACACCGCCGCTCCACTACCATGTTCATGAGGAATTCGAGGGCGAAGCAGGGTTGAACTTCTTGGTTTGGGACGCTGTGCAGACTCGGTGACAGCGTGCTATAGATCGTCCAGGCCAGCCGCAGTGCGTCATGCTGCCCTGATGCTTGACAGGAAGAGGATGGTAACAGGGGATATGGCGACCCCTAATATATCCCAGGCTTAGTGGGGATTTCGTCTGGACCGACAATCTTGGGCCCAACCCTGGGATACATGATAGGGGGCGCGTCCATCCTCGATAGGGATGCTTCCGAATAGCCCCATGGGAGTGTATCCCCCAGAGTTCCCCTCCTTTTCTAAACGGCTCGATTTGTCGTCCAAAAATTTGGAGTTGGGGGCGAACAAGAAAACCTGCGAGATGGGGGGGCGAGCAGGACAGGAGCGGGGGAAGCAGGAGAGGGGTGTGGGGAGAGCGGGTCGGGGCGCGAGCAGGAGAAGCAGAGGGGCGCGGAGTACGCAGGAGAAGTGTAAGACGAAGCCAAGACGAGAATAACATCGGGTGGGGATACATCGAGAGCATCTGAGATCCATCAGCTAGGGCGGATGTCTCGGGCGCCGCGGCCTTCTCGGAGCGTTCCAGAACGCCATGAGAGCGTTCCGGAGCGCTCTGGAACAGATTTATCCTCGTCCTAGCCCCGTCCGAAAGTGGGAGAGGGGACGAGGAAAGCATGGTGGCCCTGAACCAACCTGGCAACCATGAACTGCGGCTTCTGCAGCTGAGCCAGCCGAACCGGATGAGCCAGCCGAACCGAAGCCCTGACCCGACCGGTCACTTTGAACCGTGCCGTACTGGTGAACCGAAATCGGCCCAACACCGGCCTCCTACTCGCCCGATCGCATTTTCTTCTCGTTTGCAGCGATAACCTGGAGGGTGGGTGGGTGGGTGGAGAGGCATAACGTAACGCCCTCCCAACGCCACACTCCACCGTGTGGGTCCAGCACTGCAAAAAATGAGGTGCCGGACACTCTGCGGCAGAGCTGGGGACGCGCCAGGAGGGGAGGACCGTTGCGTTGGGGGGGAGGGGGGGGGGCATAACGCGCGTTCTCTGGCCCAGAGGGAGAACAAAAAAGCACTCTCCCCCGTGCTCGAGAAGGGGCAGGAATGTGAGGCGGGGGGGGGTTATCCATATCCACCGCCTGGGAACCGACATCCTGGTGCCCCAGCGGGCGGTGGACACGGACATATTTTGGGCCTCGGGGACCCGGATTGATCCAGATCCACCGCCTGTGGAGGTCCGCGAGGATCGATCCCCCAGGCGGTGGTTATGAACAAATCCCCGCCCCGGAGGGTAGGATGCGGGGGGAGAGGTGAGCAACCAAAAAAGGAACCCTGACGCTTTGGGAGGGGACCTAACTCAGGAGGGTAAACACACTAGGGATGGGGGATCCTTTTCTGCAGATGTATCGAGCCAAACCGCCGAGAATCATCATCCCTGATGCGACGACGGGGGCCTAAGTGAGGCCACGTCTTCACTATGCGATTACGGAACCGAGCTCTATATATACCGACGCTTTTTCCGGCCCTGCACTGACACTCGCACATGAAAGCGGATCCTGGTGTATACGGGATGCTGGTGTATACATGCTCGCCATCTCCCCAGGAAGACGGGGAAACAACTATACACCACACCACCCCGACGTCGTCCCTGACCCTCGAAAATTCCAGGGACCAAAAAACAGCACGCCGCTGGTAATGTATACGCTCCGACTTCCGACTTCTATCCTCGACGAAGAGAGTGGAGGGCCGGGCAGAAGGAGGCGCACGCATGCCGCGGCGCGGTAATTTATATGCTCCAACTTCCGACTTCTATCCTCGATGAAGAGAGTGGAGGGCCGGGCAGAAGGGGGCGCACGCATGCCGCGGCGCGGGGCCTGCGGCGCCTGCCTCTGGCCTGGCCTCTCGCCCTGCTCCGCCTGCTTGACGGCCTTGCCCGGGCGGAGCAGGGCCCCTCCCCACCCCCGGGCCCCTGCCGCGGCGGACGCGCCGCGGAGGCGCCCCTCCCGCTGGGGGTGGGCACTTTGGGCTTCCTCCTCCTCCTCCTCCTCGTCCTCGTCCTCGTCCTCCTCCTCCTCCTCCTCCTCCTCCTCCTGTCCTTCCTCCTCCTCCTCCTCCTGTCCTCCTCCTCCTCCTCCTCCTCCTCCTCCTCGTCCTCCTCCTCCTCCTCGTCCTCGTCCTTCCCCTCCTCCTGCTCCTCCTCCTCCTCCTCATCCTCCTCGTCTTCCTCCTCCTCATCCTCGTCTTCCTCCTCCTCCTCCTCCTCGTCGCTGCGCTTCTGGGGTTGGGGCGTCGGGGTCACACAGAACGTCGCGCCCTCTCTGCGGGGCGGGGACTTCTGCACGTCCGACGCCTAGAGAACCGACGTCATGGGGCCCCAGCGGGCGGTGGATTATGGATATGGCCATATACATGTATACACCGAGATTATGTATAAACATACGTACACATACATTTGCATGTATATATATATATATATATATATATATATATGTGTACACATTTTTGTGACTACGTATAAACATATACATCTATACACATATACACTATAAAAATATTGAGGTGTACATACATATATAGGTCTGTCTATAACTGTGGTTGGGCCCGGGGGGGCGAGCAAGTCCATATCCACCGCCTGCCAAGATTACCGAAGCTCGATCCTTCAGGCGGTGGCTGCGGATAAAGACTCGCATACAAGACTCGTCAAACATACATTGACGGTCTTTGCTTTCGGCGCTTGCGCAGCCGGCGCTGCTTCAACGCTGGCACGACGTGCTTGGCCCGCGCGCAGGGGTGCCCGAAATCTGTCCGTGCCCTCGCAGCATTGGGGGAACGCGTTCTCTGACAAGGGCCCGAACCATCGGGCGCTTCGACTTCGAGCGGCGTCTCGGCGCACTCTCGACCCGCCCAGGACCCCCGCGCCGCGAGGAGCGCGGACATCCCCGCGCCCTCGCGCTCCTCCCCCCCCCGCGAGGCCCCTGGGGAAGAGCGCCCCCTCCGGCCCAGGCCGCGATGGCTGCGGCGTGCGCCTGCGCCCCCCGCGGGTGACCCATCGCGATCGACAAGCAGCGCACGGTCAAACGTGTAGGGGAGGAGGAACGGGGCAGAGCAAGGCGAGGAACGCGCGAGAAGACAAGAAATGCGCCATCAGCAAGAAGTGTTGGCGCTCCGCGCGGGTTTCTTGGATCTGCGCTGGACCTCCTTCCCTGGCGCGCCGAGCGCGCCAGGGGCGGCGCCGGAGGCGCCGCTGAGGGGGCCCAGCGCGGATCCTAGAAATCCGCGCGGAGCGCCAAAAAATTATGGCGGTTTTTCTTCTTCGAATAGGTTTGGGTGCGAGTTGTCGGACGCAGAGGGTGGTTCCCACTCGAACGGTGACACTGTGACCCCCATCCGACAACACGCACCCATAGCTCCCCCCCCCAGAATTCCACCCCAGGAATCCTAAGCGACGTGCAGGTCTGGGTGTCAGTTGCCAGCTCGTGATCTCACCCGCTCCCGGATTCTAAGCCCCCGCCCGCGACAGGGGCCGGGCTTGGGCTGCCGGCCAGGGCGGCGACCCTCTCATCCACCAGGCCGCAGGTCTGAAAAGGAGTGTCTCCGGGCTGTTCCTGGGAGTGCTCCTCCTCCTCCTCCTCCTCCTCCTCCTCCTTCTCCTCCTCCTCCTCCTCCTAGACTGCGCGCGGGCCTAAAAATTCGCGACGCCGGCCCTGTTCGCAGAGGCGGAGGCGGAGAACACGAGGTTTCGGGGCCCCTGCGGCCCCCCCGCGTATCTGGCCGAGAGCGGCGTGGTTTTCTAAAGCGACGATCGCAGCATCCCGAAGATCGAGAACTCGAAGGAAATGTCGACCAGCGCCCAGATGCTCCCGAGGTCCCCAGGCATCCAACTCATGGGCTGTCTCGCGCGCTCCTGGGCGTTTCGAGGCGCTCTGAGGGGTGCCCCCGCTCGGCTTTCCCTGATGCGTCCGACACCTGGCTCGGGCATCAACACTTCAAGCGCAATGTTCAGGATGGTCTCAACTGGCTTATCCTGGGGCGCCCTTGGAGGTCTCTTAGGCCGTCTTCAGGACGAAAATAACGGCATGATACGATTGGCCCAATGAATGCTATTCAATAGCTCCCAAATATCAACCGGTCCTCGTTTGGCGGAACCTGTACAGAACAATCGGAACATCGGGACATGCTTATATGTATGTATTGAAACGTACCGTTATCATGATGTCTTGCCCCTCTGTTTCTGATGCCCTAGGGGCTGGCACGGGCTGGCTGAAGAAGCCCAAACCGTCCCAACATGTGTCTTAAAACCTACCGTATTTTCTGTCATCTCGAATGCGTGCTGAAACGGGCCAAATCATCTGGCCCACAATTCAAAGTTCGGGGCGTTCGACGCGGGCGAGTGAGAGCCACTTCGAGAAAACAGAAACGCCCACATTTACAAACCGCGGCTTGCGATGATGTGAACATTGAAAGTGGGGGCGCGGGGGACGTCCTTGCGCCATCTTTTGGTTGTTGTACCTGGCTTGCCGTCGCTCGGACGTCCATTCCCCGTGCACGTTTCCCTCTCGTGCGTGCTTTTTTGCCCTGGGATGATCCAGGATGCCCCTCGAGGATCCCCGCCGAGAGAAAAGCGCACATGTCCGAGCGATGTCGAGCTGGATTTTTCTCCCCGGAGTCAGTCATATTCCGCCACGTAGATTTTACCACATTCATTGCACAACAAAGCTTACACCACGCAGATTGCACCACGTGGGCTGCACCACGTAGCTTGCACCATATTCATTGCATCACAGAGTTTGCGAAAAATACGGTGCGCCACATACGTGACAGCACATCGATTGCACCGCACAAACTGCGCCACAAAGCTTACACCACACCATTCGCGCAACATCGATTGCGCCACAGAGCTGGCATCACGTAGCTTGCACCACCTAGATTGCGCCGAATAGCTGGCACCACGCAGACAGTTGCACGTACCGCCACAACACCACGAACATTGTACAGTCGGGGCGCTGACCTAAGGAACCCTCATTAAGGAACGAGGCCCCTTTTTCCCAAACGTTGAACTTCGATTTCCCAGGGAAAACATAAGGGAAACCTAAGGCAAACTGCACAACAATCAAGGAGCACCGAGCCCCTCCCCAACGAAAAGGATTCCTACTTCAGCGCCCCGACTGTACCACGTAGACTGCACCTGGATCACGATGGTGATGGCAATCCGTGATCCGCGGCCCCTCGGCTCAAGCCCCGACTCCTGGCCCCAAGACCTTCCCGGCCTCCGCCACCGCCCGCCGCCTCCGCCCCTCGCGCGGCATGGCCCCGCATACGTCCAACGCCGAGCTGGACCACGCCGCTGCGCTCCAGTCTACGGGGGGGACCCTGGTGGAGGCGCGCGCTTCGCCAGCGCGCACGGACGGCCCGCGGCCAGCCCGGCTCCGACCTCACGGCAGTGCGCCGCGCGCTCTGCGGGACTACGCGGAAGCGTGCCTGAGTGAAGACGCCCCGCCGCCTGCGACGAAGTGGACGATCGTGAAACTCCAGGCGTTGGACTCTGCCCGGCGCCGCCTTGTCAAACGGGCGAAGGGGGAGACGGAGGTGGACATCGAGAACGTGATGAGAGCTGCGCGGGTGAGAGACGTGGCGCCATCCGCCGTGTCCAAGCAACTCACGGGGAACGTGGGGGTCACTTGGAGATCGCCCCGTGCTGAGCCCGTGCGCACGGAGGAAGACCTGGCCGAGCGCGTGGACATTTGCGCGAAGTGGAAGCGTCTGCCGAACGACGTCTTCACCGGCTGCGTCGACGCGACCATCGACGACAAAGTCTTCTAAATCCCAGCGCACGCCCGCGCAAAGATGCACGCGTGGACGATCCGCGTGAGCGGGCCACTTGCGCACCAGCTGCGAGGGATTGAAGAAACACGTTGCCCAACCCAAAAGAAATAAGCACCGCGTGAGTCCTGGCGCGAGAATGACGTGGCGGCAACAATTATCAAACGCAAGATCCGGGTGTGGCACTACCTCCCGAAACGCTGGTGTGCCAGCGCCGCCTGCGACTTTTACTCGAAGAGGCTGGCCCCGACGCTGCGCCGCACCTACCCCGAGAAGTCCACGTCCTGGAGGACAGTAGCCCGACCGGGTACAAGTCCAACAAAGCGATCGAGTGCAGGCACCGCCATCAGCGCCGCCATGGGCTGCGCGACGACTATTGCATTGCAGCACTGGGGTGCCCCATCCGCCCTCGCATTCCTGTCTTCTCTGGTCCGGTATAGATCGAGATGGTAACCACAACGGCTTCGGGGCCCGAATCGCGTGCTGGTTTTCTTCCATGGCCCATGCGTCCCCGATAATGGCCCGATAGCGTTCCAAATGTGTTCCGGCTGTGCTTAGACGGCGTTCCGATTGCGATCCGATTGTGGTTCCACTGCGATCCGAT